GTATATGTAATGTATATATATGTATGTATATTCTTTAAATACAAAATCAATGATGATTGCTTGCTGGCGACACACTCTTTGGTGGTTGTAGTAGACAGCACTTTCCAAATTTGCTTATTTTTCTTTTAGATAACAAACATAAAAAATCCACCGAAAAACACACATTTAATTGTGGCTTTCGTTTTAAGAGTTTTATGTGTTCCTTTTGGCCTTTCACTTTCATCTTTAACATGACTTTTCTAGTTTTGATTATTGATGTATATCCTATCATTACAGATTGAATTGGTTAACAAGTTAATATAAATCTACACATATGAATTTAAAATAATATTTCAAAAGTATTATCTCGTCTATAAAAATTCGATATTTTCATAAATAAAAATACCTAAAAAGCATAGCTCATAAATATAATTTTAATGTTTTGATATGAGTCAAATAGTTTCATGTCTGGTGATTTAGGGGATAATAAGAATTATGATATGCTTTGGATTGTTTTCGATTCATTTATTCTATTTCATTTAGCTAACATCTACACTTTACTTATTTGATACTAGATTAATGTATGTCGACTCATTTTTCGGTAAACATATAAAGCTTACCATCTTAAATTTATTAAATAATGTACAAATATGAAATTGAAATAGTATTTTATAATTATTATCTAGACTATAAAATTCGAACTTTTACATAAAGAAAAACTAAAAAGACTCAAAAGGCATAGCTTATAAGTATAATTTTAAAGCGGAATCGTTCTATCTTCATTACAAAGCATATCCAGCCTTCACTCTATTATAACTAACCCAATTATATTCTCACAAATTCAATTGCAAAAATCTCCATCACTATCACTATCACCAACACCACCATATTTGTTGCCTTTGCCACCACAATTACAACTGTCACAAGCCTCCGTTTATCGCACCAATGAAAGATCGAATGGAACGTTTTATTGCGTTTCCCTTTGCTACAGGTTGTGTTTCCGCCTCTAGCGTGGTAGTTTCTGGAAACAATGATAAAAGATCGAAGGAAGATATTGACTCACCTCACATGGGTATCCTTCCATTTTCCACGAAATACAATTGTTTTCTTGAATTATAAATGATGAAATCAAGAACGTCCTAATATCCTTAATTTCATCATATTTGACTGTTATGCTATAATTTATGTTGTTTTATGTTGACATTATGATGTTTCATTGTAGTGTGCAGATCGTATAGCCTCCCCAAGGATTCAAAATTCAATGAAAGAGCCCCCATGATAAATGAAAGCATGACAAAGAGTACGTTTCGGTTCACGGCACTTCCAAAGCCTAACGTATCCGTTGCATTCCACCGGCTCACTAAGAGCATCAAAAGTTTATCTCAATCACTTGGTAAGCAAAAACGAAAAAGTGTCACCATAGGTTTTCAGATGTAACTAGTTTGTTTATAGATATATTTTTTTCATTAACCATTGTCTTGATAAATTATGTTTAGAAAATAAAGAACTATGACAAACTTGAAAAATGGTAGGAAAAAACTAAATGAGAACAAATTTACAAAGATTTAGGATTTAATGTGGAAAAAATCATTTACCTCACTTTTGTCTGTTCGATCATTTTATTCTACATTAAGCCAAAGTTAAAAACTCATAGCCAACTTATCATGTTAAACCGTGTCCTCATTAAAGTCTATTAACCTTGAGGAAATTGAAGGAAATGATAAATAGTAATCTTAAGTGTGTAGGAAGATGGTAGGAGATAAAAATAGGAGGATATTTGATCTCTAGTTACAAAGATACATACAAATATTTGTTCCTCGATTAAGTCTTGTTGACATTAAAACATGTTCTACATTTTCATAGCGTTCAAGGAGGAGACAGCTGAATCGAAAATGGAGATGGAAATTGGGCTTCCGACCGATGTAAAACATGTAGCACATGTTGGATTCGATGGATCCGTAACCTCAGAACTCAACCGCCCTCGCAATCTCAACACCACAGATTTTCTTGGGTTTTGCCCGGTTTCCTTTGCACAACTTGAGGGACGACTTGCCATGTGTGCACCATTGGATGCATCTCATGACACCAAACATACACCACCTATTGCAAAACGAGCTAGAAACAAAACCGAAGCAAGTACCATGTAAATTCTTACCATTACATCAAATTGTACAAGTAATACTTTTGTTCACTTGAGTATGTATGTATTAAATGTCCTATAGTTATTATTTTTGTCGTGTTGGAAAATACCATTATGTGATATTGATTATTATATATATAATATTCATATGTTTAAATTAATGTTGTGCTTGGTAATATTTCTCTTTTACCATTATCAAAAGTGTGTTCTGAAGTTTAATAGATGGAGAGAAAGAAAGCGATATGTAAATAAACATAGAAGAACTAAACTATTTCATGTTCGCGATAAAACGCTTACATGACAAAACTATTGTTGTCTTAATCTCCTTCTAAAATTCAGAATTATCTTATAAAGATTATTTTTATCATTTATGTTTCTCTTTAACAGGAAAACATGGGGAAATATTAAAACATAAAGGTTGCTTTTTCTTTTCCTTTTGTTAGAAAATGGTTTATTTGAGTTATCAGACTTTGTTAAACATGTCTAATTTTATTTATTTTATTTTTGAGAGAATATTTTAATAAGATAATTTTTGTAATCATATTTATTTCAGTCATTTCTATAATTCAACAAATGGACATCAATCCAAGCTAACATGACATATATATTTTGACTCGTTTTTAAATGTATTTCTTGTGATCTAAATTCTTTTTTAACTTCTTGTTCAACCTATCCAACTTGGTTTATGAGAATATGATTATGTTTATTTAAATAATGGAAATATAAATATTATCCTTTTCTTTAATTATAAATTCATGAAAGTTTTGTGTTACTTTTAATTTATGATTTTATTGCATTAAACGTGGATATCATGATTTTTGCGAACATGAAAAACATGATACGGAACTCTTGAAATTGGTCACCAAGATAACTACCAATAATTTGCCATGATAGCTTTTATAGGACGTCCACATAACGGCATCATGGACCCGCCGAGTATCTTGCCAACCATCTTAAGTGGGGTTGATATATTTAAATCATTATTTATGAAAGAATGAGTAGATTGTATTATATTATAGTAGTATATGACAAAGAATATTAATTAAACACTAGTAGATTCAGAAAAAAAAAATTAGGAGTTTGAATAAACATAGTAGTTCACCGGTGAAGAAAAAGATTGGCTAAAAGAGAGGGATAAAATCATTAGCTTATAAGAATTTCCAGATGTGAACAAACAAATATCTTTAGGTAAAGAATAGATGTTGTTATCAGGTTCAACACAAGAGATGAATGACTCACTTAGTCTCAACAGATAGGAACATGACATGTTGGGTTAAAGACTTCTGAAGTGAAGTTTCATCAAGTCATGGGCTGCTAGAAGTCACGAGACTTAAGGTATATGCGATATCATTTGTTCTTGGGACATTGATTTGTCAAAACTTACATACTTGGGTTTATGAAATGTCACCGTCAAAACATAAACGGGACAATGATAAACCATACCCGATGAAGTTGATGTAAGAGCTAGCTTTTAGAAATCAATCAGCTTCAAGCAACATTTCGATCTATCTCCATCAATTTCTTAGCACAATCGTCATTGCCAATTTTGATTCCCCCTTTTTTTGAGATTGTAGATCAATTCAGCTCGACTCCTTGTATTCTCCAACCACAACTTTTCTAACAACAATGTAGTAGTCTTACTAACACTGATATCCACTTTTCTATTGCATTCCTCATACATGGCCTAGTTCCTTTGAGTCATTGCATTTTAAGATGAGAATGTCCTTTCTTTCTTTTCTTGAACAATGTTGTTATATTGGGAGGATATCTTGGACCAAATCGAAAAAAGTAATCTCCTTTTTCTTTTCTTTAATCCAATGTGATGAACTCCTTTAATCATAGAGCATACAAAGATTCATGTCTTAACATCGATGGTTATGTGATGACATTTCCAACTTCATCAATATTTTTCATGCATTACAATGATCACTCCATACATGCACCCAAACTGTTTCCAACCACCATAAATTTTAGAACCCATGCTTGTGGTCTGGAAGTTCAACGTCAAATCATTTAGTGAAACTGTGAAAGATTGATATTACTTGTGGATGTTCAAACATTTGTTACAAAGTTACATACTAGAACTATACAGTTCACTGTTAATTCCTTAAAGTGATGCAATGATTTCACATAATAGACCAAAATCTGTTAATTGAGTTTTAATAACGCCCGGTGTTAAGAGACATATTGAACATCATGTTGTGGATTCTCGTTCTGCATAGAGTTTAATTACAAATTAATGTCTGGAATCAAAGATATATATACACACAATAAAGATATCACCGTTAGAACATTAATGAGGTAAATAACTTCTGATGATCATAGATAAAATGAACATCAGACACAACATTAAAATTTCTCTTCTTGAGATGAAGAGTTTTAACTCCATTTAGTTATTTCAATGCAGTCTCCCTCATAAGTTTCTATTAGACTCATAGAAAGTGTACACTTAAAACTTTAAGCTAAGAAGACCTGAACACATTTGTTTTTGTATTTTAATATTTAAAACAAAACTATAAAAACAAAATAAATATAAATGACAAAACCGAAATAAATTTAATAACTAGAAACAAATAATTTGACTCAAAAGAAAATTAATTAAAACTTTTGAAATAT